TTAGGGTTAGGGTTTAGGGTTCAGTTCTTCAGACCTCTGTAGCATGTTGACTATCCCGTGAACCTCCAAAAAGCATCCTTAATATGGATTCACTTGGAGTTGTGTTTAGGCTTGTAGTTTCTTGGGGAAGCTGCTGTTTCTGTGGACGACCTCAGAGGAGTAGACTAAGTGGGGTTAAACCCTAAACCCTAAACCCAAGAGTAGATTGCCTGGTTGTGTAACGAGTACTTGGCTTTCTCCGAAGCAGGAGCCAGAGCCTCTGCGCCACCACGAAACGGTCAACTTCACCGGTGGCTTGGTTACTAGGTAAGCTACTGGGACATTCACACATTCTGTGCAACCCTGAACATTCCCTGAATCCCAAGCCCAAGAAGAGATGACTGGGACATAATGTGTTCACCTTTCTAGTGTCTAAGAGTATCGACAACAACTATCTTGGTCCTGGCCCAGATGTTTATATTACCATGGTTAAGAGGACAGCAACATACTGTTGAGGTGTCTCAGATTCCAGTATTTCTTCGAAGGAGGCCTTCCACATTGATGGATGTCCACATTGATGGATGTGTTGCTTTCAAGTTTAGGCAGACCTTAAGAAGCCAAAACCCACTATTTTGTAGGTTCTTATAAACCCCAAAACGGTTTTATAGGGACCCTACAGAAAAGTAGGTTTGGGGTTCTTAAGGTAGGGTTCATTACGTGCTTATGGTTCCTGGAGGCTCCGGAAGGCTTCAGATTAGTGCCGGAAGGCATGTTGCAATGAGTCCTCTTCGTGGCTGTCGCCTGGTCGTTCTGTGAGTCTTCTTTATGACTTGATGTTCAACACCCGTTATATACCTATATACATATATAGACATGTATATACACACACATACAGAACATGTTATGAATGTTATGTTATATGTAGGAAGGTTATATATATATATATATATGTTTATACACATGTATTATATGTCGAAAATTCACAGTCCCCAAGTCTAAGGCGTCCGTGGCTACGAGCGAAGCGTCGGCACTTCCTACGACAATGCCGCAGAGGTCCACGATGCCGATAAGCACGAGAGCGTAAGGCTACAGGGGCGGTTTAGGGTTTAGGGTTTAGGGTGTAGGGCCGCTATATCAAGGCCTTCACTCTAAACCTATAAGTACGCAGCACTTGATCTGAGCCTCAGGATACAACACAAACTCGTTGAGGGGCTCCTTTCTATAATTACAAGCCCCAAAACCTATTAAGGCCCTGACATTAATGGTAATTCCTATTGTAGAAATCCTACGTTCTACTATACTCTCAGGAGCTTTCCTGCGCATTACAGGGCTTTGGCCATCTAGGGCAAATCTTGAAGGACGTGATTCATGCCATTCCGCTAGTGGTTTGGGAGGCATCCTTGCGAGTTCTATATACGGTTTAGGGTTTAGGGTTTTAGGGTTTAGGGTTTAGGGTTAAACCCTAAATTAAAATAGGGGGCTGTATATGAAGAGTTATGGTGAGCTTTACAGAGTTTGCACAAAGCTCCGGGGGGCTACATAGATTTGCCAGGGGTTCCATCAGAGGATATGGAGTATCAGGGGGCCTTGGTAAGCAGCTCCCACAGCGCCCTATACATTCTACGATGCAGGTACTTTATTTACCCCTTAGTGGTGACGGACGGCTCTAAACCCTAAACCCTAAACCCTAAACCCTAAACCCTATGCAAGTGCCCTGCCTGGGGTTTTCGTGTTTCTCTGCTTACTTATCACCCACAGGGACCCCGAGGCTCCGAAGTTCGAAGGACATTTCAGGAATCCCTCAGTGCACGCTTTAGCGTATAGGGTTTAGGGATGTTTTTCGGTTTAGGGTTTAAGGTTGAGGGTTTAGGGTTCAAGGTTTAGGGCTTAGGGTTCAGGGCTTAATTCTCACATATTCTCACCCTTGTCATTTAAGCTTGCTTGCTGCCGGCTTCAGCCATGTTCACGCTTTGCTTTGTACCTCTTTTGCTTGCGCCATGGTAGCAGCATCCAAAGCGATGTGGCTGCGGGTGAGCTGCGGGGCGCAGCTTCATCTGAACTTGAGCAGGCTGTTGTTTCAAGACCAAGTGGGGGTTTCCAAAAATAGGGGACCCTAATATAGTACCCTAAATAATAGGTTCCTTATTATAAGGACCCCAAAGTAAGGTACCCTAATTTTCAGAAAGTCCCAAATATCAAGCTCCAAGCCACTAGGTTTGTAGTCAGCGTCCTTGCAGACTGAGCCCTCAACCGTGAGCGCACCGCGAGATCTTGTCTAAGTTGCAAACGCTTATCGTCCATAGCCAAAGCAGCACAAGCCCCCAAACCCCTACTTAGTCCCAATAAAGACATCGTAAACAGATGGAACGAGCGGCTTTTCTTCCCTTGCCATTAGGATTTAAGATCTGCGATGAGGGAGGGTGCACTGGTAAGGTATCTTTTGCTGCTCGCTGCGACGGATGTAGCAAATCCACTGCAAGCAGCGCTTGCGACTTAGCTGCGAGCTCTGCGACCTACGGGTCGGCCTAGAATCCCTCAGCCCCCGAAGCCGTAAGGGCCCAAAATTCCGAGAGCCTAAACCCATAATCCCCCAAAATACTGAGATCTGGGCTGGAGTCAGGGTGTTTAGGCTTTAGGCTTTATGATTAAGGGCCTCGAAATAAAATCTACTGATTTTCGGGGCAGGTTTCAATCAGCACCTCCTTCGCGCGAATCCTGGTTCTCCCAAACCCTGCAATCCTGAACCCTAGACACGTACAAGCTTGATGCACTAAATCCCAAGCGCTGCACCTTAACTGCTGCCCTAAACCCTAAACCCTAAACCCTAAACCCTAAACCCTAAACCCTAAACCCTAAACCCTAAACCCTAAACCTTAACTGCTAAAGTCTAAAGACTCCCTAGCCTGAAAAACCCGAAGCCTCACCACACAAAGACGGCAAACTGAAGCGAGCGCTTCGCTGCCCCCTCTCATGACACCGTGTAACTAACGAAGGGAGGCCCTTCTTAAAGAGGTTCAGGAGTTTCGGGTTTGGGGCTTCGGGCAGTTTCGGGTGTGGGGTTTAGAGTTTAGGTTTTAGGGGGTGGTGTTTTGGGTTTAGGGTTTCATTAGGCTTTGAAGGTCAACAGGTCATCCCAAGCTTGGCCCAAGAAGTTTCGTAGGTTCTCCTCTTCATTTCCAACCTTAACCTACCAAAACCTACTTTTTGGTAGGGTCCCTATAAACTCCATGTTAGGGTTTCTAATAAGAACCTACAAAAAAGTAGGGTTTGGTAGTTTAAGGAAAGTAAAGACCTGCAGCAAAGAACCCCGTAGAACCTGGAAGCTGGCAAAGCTCTTCTTTCCCCGGAAAACCCCGAGGGTTTAGGGTGTAGAGTTTAGGGTTTAGTGGTTTAGGGTGTAGGGTTTAGGGTTTAGGGTGTAGGGTTTAGCGTTTAGGGGTTTAGGGTGTAGGGTTTAGGGTTTAGGGTGTAGGGTTTGGTAAAGACTCCCTCAATCCCTAAAGCTCTGGCAGCGAGCTTCCAAAACCAAAAGCCTAGCAAGGAAATCCCAAAAAACTTTTAAATCCTAAACAAATCTAAAACCCCTAAAGCCCTTACACCCTAAACCCTAACCCCTTAAAAAAGAACCCATCGAGCTTTAAAGGAACCCCAAAAAGCCCTTTGCCCAAGGATGCGGATGGTGACTGCCAAGGCTCTGACTGTGCGCTGAGTGCCCTGCAGGTGCGGGCGAGCGCCGAAGGCTCCAGGGTTTAGGATTTAGAGTTTAGGGGTTCAGGGTTTAGGGTTTAGGATTTAGAGTTTAGCGGTTTAGGGTTTAGCGTTTAGGGCTTGGGGTTTAGGGTGTAGGGTTTAAGGGTTTAAGGGGTTAGGGCTTAGGGTTTAGGGTTTAGGGCTTCGGGTTTAGGATTCAGGGTTTGGACGGAGCCATGTGAGGACTTTTAACTACAGACTTCATAAGCACAAGGATGTTCCTTGTTGCATAGAGGTTACCGGCTACCGGTGGTATAAGATTTATACAACATTGCCTTTTTTGTGTTATATTGCGCTATACGGTTTTACAGGCGGCTGACCCTTTTTCCGCTTGTCTCTCTTGTGCTCAGAGCAGGACAAAGAAAACCCTTGATTTTGAGCTGTTACTGGGTAACCTCGTAGACAGGAATCGATAGTGTGACAGCTGAAGTCTTGCAGGCATGGACAATCTGGCAAAATCAGGGACTCTCGACGAACCCTAACAACCCTGCATCCCCAAATTTACCCTGGAATCGTTCCAACTAGCAGCAGTCGTAGAGAGCACACTATCCATCACAAGCTCGGGATGGCACAAACCATTTGGTGGATGCCATACATCCTACGTACACCCTCGGGCCTTATTGCACTTTGAAGTCATGTTTTGACGCAAATACCAAAACAAGACCTAGCAGGCTCCACACCTCACAACGACAGAAGACAGAGACTTAAATCCCGATTTTCTGCGTGTGTATTGCGCTCGTCAGGGATATGAACTTGTGTAGACAGAATGCGGACGTCCCAGTGAGATTCTATGATGCCAGCAATAGAAGCCCGAGGCCACATCCTAGAATCCCAGGCTCGCAAGCCCTACACCACACCCGAAGCTGAAGATGCAGGGCCTTTCGGGCACTAGGGTCTATGCACCCGGATTTCGAATGCCTGGAGTGGGTAAGATCCCGGGCTTTGGGCCTAGGGTCTGGGATGTATGCAGGGTGTAGGATGGTTTTGGATTTCGGTCTTTGACATACTTCCCCGAAGCCCGTATGAATCAGGTAGCTGCGGCTTTAGCTTTTCCGACTGCTTCGCTACGGACGAGACATCCAGCCGCGTGTTTGCAGAGCTGTTCGGGAATATGATGGGTCCCATTATAATGACTCACACTGCCTCGGGCTACTTATTATCCCTAAGGGCCCAAGTACCTAATAGTCTATATACTCTCCCAAATCGTAACCTACATATCTACTATCCGAAACCTGAGTACCTGATTATTGGGTCCTTTGGACCCTTGGGGTATTCTGGTTCTGCACAGACGTTTGTTTGAGGCTCTGGACAAGAGGCTTCCGACCGTGGGAGCTTCACATAGTTCTGTCAGCCCAAACTCGAATCTTGGCTCTGCCCTAAGGGTCCATGTACTCATATAGTATATACATTGGCCCCAAAGTATGTACCCACATAGAGACTACTTTAAGGCCAAGGTATATACAATATGAGTACATGGACCGTTATAGCTTGTGATTCAAGATTTGGCACTTCTTACCCGACTGAACCCCCCAAACCCTTACGAGGAAATCATAGTGGAGAGGGGGACTCCATGGCATGGGCCTTACGAGACATGCCAAGATCCCAGCTTTGAGGTGTCTCTACGTTGCGACCTGTAGAAAACATCACTTCAGCAAACAACTGAATTAAGGAATATATCTTAACTTATAGTAGAAGCCCTACTCCGAGTCAAGGTAAGGGATATTGGTAAGTCTTGGTATCTCCTGCAACCCTGACAAAGCCCTCCGGCCAAAGTCCTCACTATGGGTATCCCGAAAAATACCTCAATGTAGTAAATGGCCCACATGGCATCATCCCTTCACGTGGTTTATCCAGAACTTCAACCCTTCACGAAGCTTTATCGGTAGGTAGTATTACTTGTTTAAACTCTTTGAGTTAACTTACATGTGAACTAGGTTCCGCAAGCAAACCCTAAACCTCAAATCCTGAAGAGCAGCCCAGGTTCGTCTCTAGATCCTCTGACGTCCCTGTCGGCCTCACTCTACGACGATCTCATTATGCCAGCGCCAGCGCCGCTCGCTGTGGATGACTGCATGATCTTTGTATGGTGTCGGGTAGAGGAGGTCTATTCTAGACTGTGGGGTCGTTCTGGTATCCCAAATGGATGAATAAAGATGAACAATGTGTGTATATATACGCATATATACATGAGAATACTATATATATATATATAATGTATGCATGTGTACATATAGATGTATGCATGTATTTTATCTATACATACACATATACATATACACAAACATCGCCGACATATACCATACATACATAAATACATAGACAAAGACATACATACATACATACATACATACATACATACATACATACATCCATACACCCATACATCCATGCATACATACATACATACATACATACATACAAACATACCTACCTACCTACCTACCTGCCTGCCTGCCTGCCTGCCTGCCTACCTACCTACCTTCCTGCCTGCCTACCTACCTACCTACCTACCTACCTACCTACCTACCTACCTACCTACCTACCTACCTACCTACCTACTTTCCTACCTGCCTACTTACATAGACAGATACATAGATAGATACATAGGTAGGTACATACATACACACACATTCAATCATGTGCATGTACATACACATATTCATAGCATGAGTATGTATATATGTGTGTATATATATATGTATATATATATATATATATATATATTGATATATACCTACATATATATATATATATGGACACACACACACACCCTGTATATGCTGTACTTGCACACAGCCCTTGATCCTTCCGAGCCCAGTCGCCTATGTACGAGGTTAATCTAGGGCCCAATCGTCAGTAGTAGGGGCTCCTTGATACGCTGTTATGGGCCCTAGAAGGTTAAACTCAGGTTTCTGCTACAGTATCCGACTTTCCTAGATGGCTGGGCTCCTCGGGGACAGGGATGAAGCATGCAGAAGCATTCAAGCGCTACATGCAACCCCAAACCCCACAACGCGGGAGGCTATATCCCTTCATTTTGAGATACAGCCGACAACGACCTGCAATCACAACAGAGTGAACCGCCAAGGTTCTTTGTTTGCAGGTCTGTAGGGTTTGTTGTCGTACTTGAGGCACAACATACACCCACTGATGTTTATCACGGCTTATGAGTTTATGATCTTTGGAGAACGATTCACTGCTTAAGTGAGCTAGCCTACTGGAAGGCTTTCGGGCTCAATGCCTCGAGTGCTGCCAGGGCTAAATACTGGGCTTAGCTGTTAAGAGAGGGTTTAGCGTTTAGGGCTTAGAGTTTAGGGGTTACGGTTTAGGCTCTCGGGTTTAGGAAACCCTAAACCCGAAGCCCTGAGCCTAAGCTTTAGGCTCTTGGGGTTTGGGGTGCGGACTGCCACAGCAAGGCACATCTCGCATGTCTCTCAGAGCCCCTTGAAACCCCTGAGAGCCCCTTGAAACCCCTGAAAGTTTCGTGGCTTAGGGCTTAGTTTTGTGTGTTAGGGCCAACGTTTAGGGTTGAAAGTTTAAGGGTCTTCGGGGCAAAAAATGGGTTCAAAGTATAGGGCTTGGGGGTTTAGATCCCGAGCGCCTCAACAGCCCACCTTGAATTCAGGATGAATGGCACGACGGAGGATATGGCAGCGCTGCGGTACAATCTTCTGTGGCCTGCCCAGGAAGTCTTCAGGTATGCGGTTTCATGGTTTCTGGATGTGATTCAGAGTTCCGGTTTTGAATTCTTGAGCGACCCGAAGAGACACCTGAGCTCAGCAAGTTCGGACCGGAGAAGCGTGATGCGTTGGGGGTGTCAGATTTATACCCCTATACGCACTATAATCCTAAACCCCAAACCCTAAGCCATAAGCACAAGGCCATGGAACCTCGTTTCCTTAAGAACGGAATGTACCTTATGGCTCTTACCTACCACTGTTTGAGGTATATTCCTTACCCTAAATCATAGTATGAAGCCCCATGTGCTTTAAGGTATATTCCTTGATTGAGGGGTTTTGGGCTCTCTGGGTAATTCCCCGATCAAAAGAAAGCTCCCGCAATCCACACTGTCAGACCGTGGAGGTAGAAGCAGAATCCCAAGTTTGGGGGTTCGAGGGTTTATGGTTTGGGGTTGAGGGTTTAGGGTCCTTGCAGAATTCTACCCAGACCTTGCACTAACCCTGAATTAAGGAATATACATCACTTCGCTTTAGGGATCCTTCTATAACTGAACCAGTCGATCTCCAAGTCCGATGTACCTTTGAGTTTTAGGGTTAACATATAAGTGCTTTTAGAGTTTAGGGTTTCTGGGGTTTAGAGTTGACGGTTTTAAGTGTTTAGAGTTTTTGAGGGTTGAGGGTGTTGGGTTTAGAGCTTGTGGGGTTTAGGGTTTAAGTTATTACCCGGCATCCTGATTTGGAGGATTCAGTTCTACGGTTTGGGGTTTTGGACTCTGGCTAGAAAAAACCTAAACCCCTAAACCCTAAACCCCTAAGCCCTTAAACCCTAAACCCCTAAGCCCCGAAACCCCCACACCCCTAAAACCCTAAACCCTAAACCCCCGAGCCCTAACAGCCTTGATCTTGAAGTCCCGTTAACCCTATAAGCCCTGAAGCCCAAACCCTCCGTCGAGGGCGAACAGCGCCAGCACTGTGTTGACGCAGTGGTCCTTCCTTTCGGATCAGAGCCTAAGCAGAATCTTTGGGCTTAGGGTTTGTTGGGCTTTGGCTTTGGGGGAACTTGTTTGTATCATCATAAAACTGAGACGCCGGTGGGGGGGAGTGTTCGAAAAAAAGTTTACTGGCGCATGGAACAAGCGCTTGGTTCTTCTTAGGGTACCAAAAATCTATAGCTACACATGCAGAGGTTGAGGCCGCGAAGAGCTTCTAGGTACTCTGAGGCCATAATTGCACATTACTTTGGTGCATGAACTCTTAGGTTCATTCTCGAGCGCGTTCAGGTGTTTTGGTCCTGCTCCTTTTGTGCAGGGAGAGGGTGTGGCGTTTTGGCTCTGGGGTTTTGCCTGTGTGGGGCTGAGGCCATGGAGTTTGGGACTTAGTGGCTCAGGGTTTAGGATTTAGGGTTTGGGTAGTTCTCAAAATTAGGATCCCTTTCTAGGTCCCCAATATTTATAGTACGGCACCCTTATAAAAAAAGGACCCTCAAAGGGACCCTAAATTAGAAAACTACCCATTTAGGGTTCGCAAAGAATAGGTTTTGGGCCTTGGTTGATTTTTGCAGCTGCAGCCTTCTGGCAGAGCCGAGCGGAACTCGTTTGGTTCGTTAAAGTTCTGCCTTAGGGCTCAGAACCATAGGGTTAAGGGTATGGGTTTAGGATCTAAGGGTTTAGAGTTCAGGGTTTCGCATTGGAGCTGCTACGTTTTCACTGTTCGCCCTTCTTGCCACTTTCATTCATGGAGTTAGTTTTCGATCCCGGGCCTCCGCAAGGACCCCCTGCCGCAATTACCACAAAAGGGAGTCTTCATACTAAACCCTAAACCCTAAACCCTAAACCCTAAACACTTCATACTGCCCAGTAAAACGGTAAGTGCCAGGGATCGCAGGGCAGGTTTCGACCGGACTTGTGGGCTGGTTTTGCGAGCAGGGGGCGACGAATCGTAACATGGAGCAAGATGACCAGAAGACCAAGTGCAGAATTGCGCACTGGAGCACATGAAGTTTGGGCACATGAATTGGTTTTGGCTTTTGGTGTCTAGGTTTGGAGAACTTTACAACGTACGGTTTCGGGTTTAGGTGTCACATTTCTGTCCCTCTCCCGAGTCTTTCGGTGCCATTGTTGGTGGGGATTGCTCCGGTATCCTCTGATCTCTGTGGCATCATGGACAAGATAACTGTCAAGGTCTACACAGGGATGAAAAGCCGAAGACGCCTACCTTTAGGACGCATGCATGCGGCAACTGCATGCTTAGAACATGCACTGAATGAGGAGCACGGCTCCAACATGCACAACAGAGTGTTATCACTTCTTCATCATCCCTGAACAGTTACAGCGCGCGCGTCTCAACCTGTTCAGGTTGTAGATGACCGTTGCAAGGATTAGACAGGTTGAAGTAAGTTTAAGGGATAAGCTAGTTTGTTTGGGCTGTGGAAGCATCCAGAACCACCACGTCCTACGTAAACTCTCAGGAATATCTTCGCCTACAGCGCCGCTGTGGGTGCCAACCTGGAGAGGGATGCGCCCACGCCACCCCGGCAAAGTTGGGAAGTTGGCGCAGGGGTCGACGTAAGTTACGGGTCTGAATGTCGGTTGTTTGGTGGTCTCTAGATCTCTGATTTAGGGGCCTAAATAATTACCTACAGTATTTTGGGGCTGTTCCCTATTATAGTTATGGCCCCTACATCAGCGTATACCCATCTGTCCAGTTTTTGTTGCGGCTTCGTATACCGTAGCTGGTGTCGGAAAGTTGGATCCTCAACTAATCCCTGCTTGGAGGTTTATGGGTATTTAGAAGTGGGGTTAGATGTCCCTGAATATGGGTTAGAAGTATAGTTCCCCTACAAGTAAGCCCCAAACACTGCCTAAGGTAGCGATAGGGTCGAATAGAACTAGCCCCAGCATGGACTCACCGGGTACCTTCGGGCTATATAGGTTCCCCTTAACTTAAGAACTCCTTAAAGGGATCTATGAGGGGTTTTATAGGGTTACCGGCAGTGTTCCATATGAGTAGTCCTCTAAATCATGGTCCCATTTTACGTCCCTAATCAGTACGGCACCCTTACAAAAAAGGACCCTAAAAGGGGCATGGATAGAGAACTGCCCGTATGCTATGCAGTTTGGATCTTAGGATTTAATGCTGAGGCGAGAATTGGACGGATCGTCTTTGATGTTTGGAACTGGGCCAAGCCCTCGCAGTTTACAGCGAACCCCAGAAAGTTGGAACATGGGTGTAGGATGATTTCTATCCTTTATACTTGACCTTAAGGGTGTGAGGATGATAATGTTCCAACTTTATGGGTTCTACTATAGGTTCGGACAAGGAGCTTCGATCGAGCCCTACTAAAGTAGAAGCCCGAAAGTTGGAACATTCATATCCTCATGTCCTAAAGGCAAGGTATAGGGAATCCTAACACCAATTCCCCTAAATCTGTGTTCTAGCTTTCTGGGGTTTACTGTAGAGCAAGGGCTAACATCAACCGTACCAAACCTTGCCCGTACGTGCTAAACCCTCAGCAATGGTTTCGGGTCCCATAGTTACGACGTGAGTAGTTCTCTAAATTAGGGTCCTTTTATGGTCCCCTTCTAGGCCATTTTAAGTCCATTTGATAAGGGTGCCACCTTCTTTCGGTTTCTTAAAAGGGACCTCACTTTAGAGAACTACCCATGTCCTCAAGTTAGTGAAGCTTCATGACAGGCTCTCGGCCTGCATCGTGGCTTTCTACAAGCCGATACACGCATTAAAGGACGGCTTCGCTGTCAATAACAAGGGCAACAAGGGTTTAGAGTTTAGAGTTTAGGGTTTAGGGTGGGGTCCAATTTGGGTTATTGCAGTATGAATGATAATATGGTTAGGGGTACTAATGTAGGTTTTTAAGGCTTATGTTCCTTGTGGGCTTAGGGCGTATAGCTTTTGGTTGCGGGGTAAGTGCTCTGGTGTACACCTTCGACTGTGGTTCCCAGGTTTCAGTGACGTTTGTTGCCTGGTTAGAGGGTCCGGTACACAGAATGCCAGCCCAAAAAAGTTAAGGGGAAATGCACACCTAGAATCCTACAACCCGAAACCCGTTAACCCCTCAACTCTGAACCTCTAGGTTCTGAGACACACCTACACCCCCTGGTTCCGAAGCATTCTAGGCACAGACTTATCGCTGCCAAGTCTGACGGCCACGTCACAACACCACGTGCTTGAACCATTCTAGGTGTGCAGTCTTTCAGGACGTATATGGGGGTTTCCGAAAATAGGGGACCCTAATATACCCTAATTAATAGGGTCCCTATTATAAGGACCCCAAAATAAGGTACCCTAATTTTCTGAAACTCAAATATACTTCTATGAGGGACTGAGGGGATGAAGGGGTTTCAGGCTTTGGGGCTTATGGGGCTTGTGACTGAGGGAACTAAATTGCAACTCAAAACTGGAGGGGCTTAAGGGTTTAGGGCTTAATTAGGGGCTTTGGGGTTTAGGGGTTTAGGGTTTAGGGGTTAGGGGTTTAGGGTTTATGGTTTGGGGTTGCAAGTGCCTCGGATGGGGTTGCCGATCTCTTGGAACGGCTTATATTTGAGTCACCTAAACTCTAATCCCTAAACTCAGCCCAAACCCCTATACTCCCGGCCCCTAAACCCTAAACCCTAAACTCCCTGAGCCGCCAAAGCCCGAAACCGGAACCCCTAAAATTAAGGCACCTGCCTTTCTAGCTAAAAAGCAAGCAAATATCGTATGACGCTCCAGGTAGGGTTTAAGGCGAAGTTCGGCGGATTTTCGTTCTGCCCAGCTGTGGCCCGAACCCTGAAACACAATCTGAAGCCACACGCCCTTAACGCTAAGACCCTGAGGCCCCCCAAAAGGATGTAGATTGATGGCCCTTTGTATAGGTATTGGGCCATCCTTTATATGTTGCCTACTTTGGGGGGTTTAGGTAAGCCCTCAGGCCCTGAACCTTGAGACCCTCAGGCCCTAAGACCCTAAACCCTAAGGCCATTAACCCTACATGGGGTATTTGACAATGATTGTGTCATCCTTGCGGGAGGTTTAGGGGTTTAGGGGTTTATTTCGGGGTTTAGGGTTTAGGGAGCTTGGGGTGCTAGGGGGATCTGGATAACGGCAGGAACCTTCGAAGTTTATCCCTGGACCGCGAGCCAGGACTACTTCAAGGAGAAAGTGAAGCGGCCAAGGCCCTTTGTCGCACATCCCGACCTGCTGCTTGGCTGTGATTGCCTGAAAGTTCATGGGTAGTTATAAATGGGGCTATAAGTAAGGCAACTATAATATAGTTACCTTACTTATAGTCCCGTTTTATATTTATGACCGATATTAGGGGGATTGTAACCCCATGTATAACTACCCATGAACCTCCAAGTGCTAGTATTCCGATTTCCACGTGCTGCCGCAATGACAGACCCGATAGACCGATATACAAGACTTACTGGAGTGTAGTAGCTGAATGAGTACACCCGACACTTTTGGGGATAAGATGTCCCTGATGGAACTGAAAGTGTACACTTCTTCGGGCTTATGAACTCAGCGACTAAAACCTAAACCCTAAACCCTAAACCCTAAGTTGTCACTGCTGGATTGCAATCCCTCCGTTTTGGGCCACTCCAACCGATCCTGTGCAGCAGCCTTTGGTTCACGGAAGTTAGGGGTTTAGGGTTTAGGCGGGTTTGGGGGGAAGGTGTGTTTTGGATCTTCTGGTTCGTGGGCATAAGGTGCAAGAGGCCAGCCGAGTTAACTTCTACATGAGGTTCCTCCCTAAACCCTCTACCCAAGACGCCTGCCCTAAGCCCTAATGCCAAACCTCAAAGCCTGAAGCCCTAAGCCCTGAGCTCCTACCTGGCACTTCAGCAACTTCAAGAGGTGGGTGTGAGTTTTTGGTGTTGTTCTCCTAAACCCTAAACCCTCAACCCTAAATCCTAAACCCTAAACCCTATACGAACTGACGTTATGCTTGTTGCAGACTTTCAGATCCTCCGACTCGGAGTCCTGTAGGGTTTAGGGTTTAGGGGTTTAGGGTTTAGGGTTTTAGTGCCCCACCTTATCCTCAGGCATTTTGCGGGGACGAAGGGGGCTCTGCCTCCCCGAAATAGAACGCGGAGAACTGCCGGGCTTTTCCTACGGAAAGGAGATGAAGCAAATTAGCAAGAGCGACAACCCCATGGGATGCTTTCTACAACACCATATAAAATCTTATAAGGGCCTTGTGAACCTTAATTCAAACGAACCCTTGTCGCTCAATCGTAGAGTCGACGACGGCATCCAGGCCGGCACTTTTCAGCAAGTACAAACCCCGAGCATGCAAGTCTCAAGCCCTAGTACTAGTCGTCACGGGGCAACTAACCAAGACCCCTGAATAATGATAGTTGGAAGAATAAAACCAGTGACAATAATAGAAATATCTACAACAAAAAGAACAATAATCATCATCACCAGAAGTATCGTCATCATCTGACGTCTAATCCCGGACTCGACCAGGCGACCAATATCCTAAGAGGAGCTCGGATCACGGGTTTCATACTCTAGGGTTTGGGTTCCACATGCAAGGATTGTTGCGACGGTTGGTACTGTCTGTTTGACGTTCTGCTGAGAACATCAGTTTTGAAAACTTCCAAACCCTACACACTGAGCAATCTGAACTCCCAACAGCATAAACCCCAAAAACCCTGAAGCCCTACACTCTCTAAACCCTGCATAAACCCTAAACTCTAGAACCACGAACCCCTTATATTTCTTCTGCCGGGTAAACCCCCAAATCAATAAGACCCGAATACAAGCCTTTCGGGGACGCTTGTAGACACACCCTTTAACCCCCCTAAAACCCCAAACCCAAAAACATAAACCCTAAACCCTAAGCGCCTACATCCAAAAACCCAAACCTAAAATTCTGAACCCCAAGACCAGACATTGCATTGTTAACCCTTGAACCCTAAACCCTAAACCCATTCCTTTCGGTCTGAGGAAGCCGTGTCTTCCGGAGGAGTTCACTTTCTCGTACCCCAGCGGCCATGCGCGCCCTTGGCTTCTCTACGTAGGTCGTGGGTTTGGGGTTCAGAGTTTGGGTTTTTGGGAATTAGGGGTTCAGAGGGGGTATAGGGTTTGCGGATTTAGGGTTAAGGGGTGTGTATTGGCGGTTTCAGGATTCAGCTATGCCATTACATGTCAGGGTTGATCTCCGGGTTCGCAAACGCCCGCCGCGCTTCCCCCGCAGAGAGCCATGCGCGGATGCGGTTTCACCCAATAGCCAAGGGTGGCAGGTGTAGATTCTCACGGATACCTTAGAGCCTTGATCTGAAACCCGGGAGCCCTACAAGCCATCAAGTCTGCACTGGGTTGAGGGTTTATGTTCGGTAGGTCCGAGCCTGCGAATTCTTCAACCTAAGGGTCTCTAAACCCTTACTGACACAGCCATGGCGGCCGATCCCACCCGGCGACGTCGAGTCCTACCCGCTGCGGCGTCGTGGCTCCTCTTGGGGGCTTTGGGGGTGCAGGTTTGGTTTGTAGTCGTTGGGTCTAGGGTTTAGGGTCTCGGTAGGGGGGCCCAGGGGTGACGGTTTCAGGTAAGTAGGCGTGCAAGTAGGTAGTCGTTGACGCCAATTACTGAACTTGCTACCAGGACCACTTCTGGCTAATATAGGGGCCTAAATCAAACATGTCCCAATACTGTTGTGAGGGCTCTTTACTTTAAGTTTGGCACAAATTCACCCCAAAACCCTATTCTAACTATATTAAGGCCCCTATATTATATCAACCATGAAGAGCCTTGAACCCAAGCCGCGTCACCCCTTAATTTCCGGAGCAGGGCTTCGCTCCTTGTTGAAGATCTATAGTAGTAGCATGGGCAACCTTTAAAAGTGTAGGGTTCAGGGTTACTTAACCTTTTGGGGTATTGTATTCCCTATATAACCCTAATTGGTTAACTTTAAGTTGCACCATGATACGGGATCAGTAGGAAGATAGACTTAGCCCTGAATTTCAACCCGACGCCCTGCAAGAAACCGTTTGGGGCTTCGGGTTTACGCGCCGAAGGGACCCCGAAGGTACGCAGCCTTCAAACCTATGTCCCCGCTGCAGGACGGAAGGAGCTCAACGAAGGTAAACCCCAAACCCTAAACCCTAAACCCTAAACGAGCGCGCGAGCCCTAAATACCAAATCCTAAGCCCCCGGGAGATGCGAATCAGGTTCTGCCGCTGGTGCTTGCTGCAGTGCTGCTGCCAGGCCTTGCTGATGAGAACATGGCCCTTATAACATAGTACAATATGGTAGAATATAATAATATAGTGCAATATACTACTATAATAGTATAACATCATCTAATATAATACCAGACAATACTGTATAGTACAGTGCTGCATACTACCCCTAAACCCTACAGCAATATGTATTTAGGGTTTGGGGTTTAAGGGGTTTGGGTTTATGGGTTTAGGGTTTAGCGGTT